AACTGTTTCTCTCTACGCCTCTGGACAAAATCCACATGGCCCAGACAATGGCTGTTAACCTGAGAACCATTCTTGACTCACTATTCCCGAAGCTAGCTGAACTTCTGCTGCCCCCTCCTGCTAATGCCCTCTAAGACCTTTCACTCTCCTTCCCCAGATTCCAAAGGAATAAAGGTTTATGCTAACGGCGCTCGCTCTCGTGGATTTTCTTCCACAATGCTCTCCTTGTCATAAGATGATCCAGTCCTGGAGAGCGTCTTCTATTATCCCAAGAAGAATCTGGGGGATGGGGAACATGGGGAGAGAGGAAGGGAAGATCATTCTGAAGTCTGTGGAGGGATTTGAAAGAATGTGTCGGGAGGGGATCCCAGCACAGCGTGAGTGAGGCCTGTCTAGCAGGCGCCGCACCCAGGGGCTGGCCCTGGAACCCTTTCTCAGCTTCCCTCGTCCCCGGGTGCTCTCCCCTACAAGCCTCCTGGGTGGATGACTCCTCGCCTCACCCCTGTGCCCCACCTCTCAGGCAAACTGTCCTTGCTCAGTACCTCCATTTGCTGCAGAGCCCACATCATCTGCTTAGTTTTCTCTAAGCCCTGGAGGAAAGGTGATCGGCTGAAACAACTGAGACTCATCCAGGACCTGGCACTTCACAGAGGAAGATGGGCCTCTGGAAACGCAGGCTCAAGGTATCTAACCTGAGGTCAGGACTTGATCCCAGCACTGTGCTTTGGGACACCCAGTGTGGATGCAAGTCCTTTTTGTCTCTCCATATGGTTAGCTGGCCCTGGTCCCATCTCTTTAGAGCGAGGTACACAATTCCTGGGTGTGAGGAGGGCCTTATCAGAGGGGATCGACAGAAGCTTGATAGCCAGGCCAGGGTCCAAACTGCACCCCACACTACAGCCACACATCTGAAAGGACAAAGTGTTCCCCACTAACCCTGCTTCCTGCTCCTGCTTTCCCCGAATGGAATCCAAGCTTATTGGAAGACAGGAAGAGTCTGTCAAGGCCAGGTTCCTATCAAAGGGCCTTTTGTCTCCTGAGCGAAACACTGGCTTATTGTTACCTTCCTGACTGGGCCCTTCCAGAGGTGGGAGGCCGCCCAGAGCCTCCAGTTTTGGTTTGCGGCTCTGAACGCACTGGTGCAGGAGGAAGAGAGTGGCCCGGCTCTGGGCGAGAAGAACGCCTGGGACAGGCTAGTGTGATGCGTTTTCTCAGGGCTTCCTGTCCAGGGACGACGGCTTCAGTGGGACAATGGGACACATAGTTACCTTTCTTCAGGACGAGGAATTCTTACATCTTTCCTTCCTCCCTTCTAAATTCAAGCCTGTTAAAGAATTCTTTTCCCCTTGCTTCTCAGATTAAGCACTTAATCCTTCAAAAATGGAGCCCAACATCATTTGCTTTCAGTCAGCTTCCTTCCATCAGCTCCATCAATACTCTAGTCCGTACCCCTCAGCGGTTACGTACCCACCTGCATGGTACTCATAGGCTCGTCTCTTTCTGTGGCACTCTTCATCCGTGGGCTCCATCTCCCACAGTGGAAGGCTTTCTGAGGGCAGAATTCATGTCTCCCCCATTAGCTTGGGAGCTCCCTTCTTTACGACTCAAAGCCTGAATAGTACAACACATCATGTTCTCTCAATGTTTGTTAAATACTGTTACTAGCCACAGCTCTCCGAAGGACGGTGTTTGAAAGGTCTGTGTGGAAACAGACTCTCTCTCTCTCTCAGGATTGGACACGTCGATGCGAATAATCCATAACAATCCATAAACCAAAATTGGGGTGAGTTTTTTATGAGCCAGATCTGCAGACCATACAGCCTGGGAGAGTCCTTTCACAAAGGAATGAAGCGCTCCAGGGAAGTGGGGCTGTGCAGAGAGGTTACATACCGTTCAAAGAGCATGTATCACATATGATCGGAATGTCCCTTTTACAACAGTCACAGGATGGTCTAGCCAGCACAGCGATTCACACAGCAACTGATGAACACAGCAGGTGGCAGGGCTGTGGGCTCGAACTGGGTGGTCAGCAGGCAATCCCTAGCCTAGGAAGAGATGCTTCTCCTTAAGGAAACGTGCCTGTCTTTCTTTATCTTAAAGGGCATTGTTCTTGTCTTTGGGACATTGTAAATACTTAAAGCAGATATACAATGCATGCTCAACTCCACATCAGGCCCTTTTGGAAAAACACAAGGTTGGGCCAAATTAGTTTTACACCAAATGACTTCCTCATATACCCCAATACATCCTATTGCCTGCCATTTATTTATCAGACATAAGCTGCGTGGTATTTCATGTGGATCAACCATCCACCTTCAACAAGTTACTGCCTTGACTATAGTAAATGATACAAAACGAGTTTACTTAGATTGCCCCAAGTCTGGAAGGCTCTTGCCTGTTTCAGTAAGGGGTGAGGGTTTTAATTAATCACGTTCTCTCTGCCCTGACACTCCCAACTCCCATTACTGAGACTGAAAACATCGGAGGGAAGAATTTCCTCCCAGCCTGCGTTCTGCTGTACACCTAGACTGGCTTGACACCGGTGCTCCCTAGGGCGGAGCCCAGCCTGGGTCCGAATGGGGGCTCTCTGCACCAGCATTCAAGCAGCTGTTCTTCCTCACCCCACATCTTCTGCTAAATACGCAACTCTGACCTGGCCTCGGTATTTCACAGAGCACTCTACTTCTGCCCGAATTGAGACACGCCTCCCCAGCACCCCCTGCCTCCTTATGTCAAGGCACTGGGATGACACTGGGAGGTGGTGTCAATGTTCTGCTGACCCTAGGCCATTTCCAGAACATGGCTTTTCTGCCCTTGTAAGTATAGTCGCACTCCGCAGTGCTTTGAGAGTGTATTTTCAAGTTCCTTGTCAGTAGCCTTCAGGTACTGATAGCTCCTTCAGGTACCGTCAGGTGCGGGAGTGGCTTTCACAGGTTCTGGGAATGAGCAAGGGTGGCAGCAAGAGCTGTGGACTTAGCTTAATCGAGCAGAACAGTGGGGCAGTTGTTTTTCAGAACAATTGTTTTCTGCTAGAGATGTTTTTATTTATTTATTTTTTATTATTATATTTTAATTTTTTATTTTCTTAACTTTTAAAATTTTTAAAATTTTTCCTTTTTCTCCCAAAGTCCCCTGGTACATAGTTGTGTATTTTTAGTTGTGGGTCCTTCTAGTTGTGGCATGTGGGACACCACCTCAACATGGCCTGAAGAGCGGTGCCATGTCCACATCCAGGATTCGAACCGGTGAAACCCTGGGCCGCTGAAGCAGAGCGCACGAACTTCACCACTGGGTCACAGGGCTGGCCCCAGGGATGTTTTTATATGCTGGCTGTACAATAATGAGTGAGGGGGCCTCAGTCAGAGGGTCAAGGTGGGAGATTAGCCTGTACTCCACAAACCCGGATTGACCAATTCCACCTTCCTTTCTCTGCACGTCCTGAAGAATACACAGGTGGTCTCTGACCTCATTTCGGCCTTCAGTGCCACCACACATCCCTTCTGTCGTTGTTCCAAATGAGCTGAACTTCTCACTTCTACCCATAACGGCTACTTTATGCTTTCTCCTCTCTCATCAAGCTCCCTACTCTACCCCTACGGCCCCGGCTCTCAGCAGCTGACATCACTTCCGAGTTAAAAGAGAAAATACAGTCCATTAACAGGGAACTCCTTTCATTTTCCACCCTCTACCCACAAAGTTTTTTTCTCTTTTTACATCCCTCCATCCTTTGCTTCTTCTCTCCTGAGCTGGAGGAGAAGGCGCTGGCCCTCTTTCCTCAGAAGAATTCATTCTTCCTCACTAGATTCTGGCCCCTCTTCCCTTCAAGAGCCTTGCTCTGTGGTGATCACCATTCCTATATATTTGCTTTTTTCCCTGCTGACTCTTTCCCCCTAGCATATGATCATGCTCAAATCTATTCCATCTTAAAGCAAACAATTAAAAAAAACAACCCTCCACGCCCTTTGGCACCTTCTGTCAGTTTCCCTGGCTTGCTTTCTCCTTTCATAGCTAAGCTTAAGTCTACACTCACTCTCTCCGCTTCCATTCGCTCTACAGCCTGCTAAATTTAAGCCTCCACACTCAACTCTCCACCAAAACTGATTTTGCTGAGATTGTTGGTGACCTCTTAATTTCTAAATACAGTGGATCTGTTTTACTCATTGCCATATTTGATGCATCTGGGGTATTTGATATTGTTGACCTTGTCTCCATCTAGAAGCTCTTTTTTCCTTTCGCTTTCACAATCTCTCCCTCTCTTTCTCTCTCTACTGTGTTTCAGAGAACTCCTTTCTTCTTTTTTTTTTTAAAGATTGGCACCTGAGCTAACAACTGTTGCCAATCTTCTTTTTGTTGTTTTTCCTTTCTGCTTTTTCTCCCCAAACCCCGCCACACATAGTTGTATATTTTATTTGTGGGTCCTTCTAGTTGCGGCATATGGGACACCGCCTCAGCATGGCCTGACGAGTGGTGCCGTGTCTGCACCCAGAATCCGAACCAACAAAACCCTGGGCCGCTGAATCGGAGTGTGTGAACTTAACCACTCGGCCACGGGGCCGGCTTCCAGAGAACTCCTTTCATATATTCATTAAACAAATACTTGTCGAGTGCTTACCACATGCCAAGAATTCTTCTACAAGATGGGCAAAGTCCTTGCTTTCACAGAATTTACATTTTGGTTGAGGGAAAGAGAAAGCAAATAAAATAAGCAAACACACAAGAAAATATCAGATAGTGGTGAACACTATGCGGAGAATTAAAGTGTGGTACTATGAAAGAAAAGATTGAGTGTCATCTTTAGGTTGAGCCTCAGCAAAGGCCTCTCTGAAGATCTGAAATTTAATGCAAGACTTGATGGATGAGAAGGAAGCAGCTGTGTAAAGATGAGGGGAAGAGAATTCTAGCAGAAAGAACAGCCAAGGCGAAGTCTAAGAGCTGGGACGAACTTGATGTGTTTAAAGGAGAACGTGTATATATATCTGAGCAGGGGGTCCCGGCCTGGTTGGAGCCCTGGGGCCCAAGAGGATAAGCTGGCAAAGGAGACTGAGAAGGAGCAGAAAGCACCCAGAAGACAAGAGAAAAAAGTATTTCAAATAGAAGGGAGTGAGTTGTCAACTGTGTCAAATATTGCTGAGAGATCAAATAAAATGAGAGCAAAGAGGACCATTGCCAGCGTGAGCATCACTAGTGACCTTGACAATGCAGTCCCGGGGGCATAGAGAAGTCAGATGCTTGTTTGAAGGAGGTGGAGAGTGAGTGTGGGGTGAGAAGGGAAGGGCTGTGACGATTTCAAGGAGCGTTTCCAGAGGACAAGCAGAGAGCTGGCCAGACCTCCAGAGTTGCGCCGACCAACATGGAGGCGCTAGTCACACATGGCTATTTAAAAACTTAAATGAAAACTAGCTAAAATCAAATAAAGTTAAAAATTCAGTTTCTCAGTCACATTACCCATATTTGAAGGGCTTGATAGCCACATGTGGCTAGTGGTTACTCTATTGATTAGAGCACGTATATTTTTATCCTCACAGGAAGTTCTATTGGACAACCCTGCTCTCGAGGATGTGGGGTTAAGGAAGGTTTTGGTTTGGTTTGGTTGTTAATTTTTACTGTGAGAGGTACTAGGCAGCGGTCAGACAGAGAGTGGAGGTGCATCTTTCTTCATGGACGTCTCTTCCTTTACCTCCCTTCAGATGCTGGTGCGCCCGACAGATCCATCCATCACCCCTGCTCTTCCTCTTCCCTTGACAACCATCCTCCCTTGACAACCTCATCCATGCTTATGATCAGTTGTCACCCATCAATTGTCCCCATTATTATGTCTCTCTCCTGAGCTGCAGACCCATAGTCCACCTACCTAGGGACCATGTCAACTTAGAAGTCCCACAGCAATTTCAAACTCAGTATGTCCCAAACTGAACCACCTCTTTCTCCTGGTCCAACTCCTATGGCACCTCCATGAATTCCATCCACTCGCCCACGCCAGCAAGGTGAGAGTCATTTTGAACTCCTCTTCCTCTTCACTCTATCTCTGGTGAGTTGCTCAGGGGCTTGTTAGATTTGTGAACGCACATGGACTTGCTTCTCCTCTCTCCCTCTTGACTGGCTTATTTAAACTCCCACTGGGACTGTTAGGCACATTGTGGATTAGCTAACAGAACACTCCTACCCACCTCCTTCTCCCAGGCTGAACTCTAGGAGAGAGGATGGGGAAGGGACCTTTACAAGTAGAGGAGGCTTGTCTCATTGATCTAAAAGAAGAGTTTCTGAGCAAGATTTTGCTTTCCTGATTAAAAAGGACAGATACATCTGCTGCCACGCTTTCTTTCCCTTCTTCCTCCTTTGAATGCTGACACCGTGATTGGAGGCACCATATTGCAACCAATGAGGGAAAGGCAAGGAGAATCACAGTGCCTCCAGCCCCGACCATTCCAACAGCACCTCCTCCCAGATTTCTCAGTATGGGACAAAAAAATAGCCCTTTTATTTAAGTCAGAGGGGATTCTGTTACCTGCAGCCAGAGCATCCTTGACCGATAGTCTACCTGGTCTCCTTGTTTCATTGTCACTGCAGTGTGTTCCCTCTCCCACAGCCTTGGCCAGAGTAACCTTTATAAAAGGCAGTCTTGGTCTTGCCATTTCCCTACTTTAAATCCTCCGTTGGCTCTTCATTGCTTACAGGGTAATGTTCAGACTCCTTCACGTGGCACACAGGCCTTCTACCGTCTCCTGCTGTCTGCTTCTCCAGTCTCATCCCGTGGTGTGGTACATCACAGACAATTCTCCACGTGAACCATGTCCTTTCGTGTTTTCTTGGCCCACGCTGTTCCTTCTATCTGAAATAGCTTCTTCTCACCAGGCTTTTCCCCTTCCTCTCTTAGAGCTCTATCTTCTCTGGTTCTGTATCCCTACTGTCTTTATTATAATCCCATTTTGTTGTCTTTTCTTCCACTAGATTATGAGCTCCTCTATGATCTGGATTTGTCTTATTCATCTTTGTTTTCCCAATATTGGGTGAGGGCTGGAACTCAGGAAATTGTTTGTAAAATGAATGAATGAAAAAATGAGTGCACTGAAACAGAGGCCATGATTCCATCTCTAATTCTACATCTTATGACCCCATGACTCTCTGAAACTTATTTCCTTCATATGTAAAACAAGGATAATAATTCTGCCTTTGTCTAGATCATAGGGCTCTTTGGAGTTCAAATGAAGTTATTTGTCTGTGGCAGATCTGTAATGGTAGAAACAGCACTGGCCTTGGTGATAGGCAGACAGATTCAAATCCATGGGTTTACTAATTGCCAAATTATGAACTTGGGCAAGTTAAGTAAACTCTCTGAGCCTGAGTTCCCTAATTGATAGGAGGTCGTATATACATGTGTGGGGTTGTGATGAGGATTAAACCTGACACTGGATGTGGGAATTCCTGGCTCATAACAGGGGCTCAATAATTGTTAGTTGAAGTAGAAGTGAGGAGAAGAGGTGTTCAGGGCCATGGGATCCCACCTGGGACACACAGTTCCTGGAGAAGAGCTGTGGTCCAAAGACTGCTGGGCAGCCAAAGCCACAGAACACTGTGTGCCTCCTTTCACAGCTGCCATGCCAGCAATGCCATTCTCCATCTCCAGGCTGGAGGAATAGGAAGATTACTAACATCTGTACAGCACTGAAGAGACCTCCTGGTGCCTCCATCACTATGTGTCTCATGGAAGTCTCAAAACAACTCTGTGAGTCAGGGACGGAGTAGAGATGGTTGGTGACTTGCTCAACAGCATACAGCAGCCACGTGGTGGAAGAACCAGGTCTTACAACTCCATATTTTGGAGCCCTCCCCTGCTTCCTCCCTCCCAGGACTGGAGGGGAATACAGAGGCTGAAGGAGAACTCAAAGGTTCAGGTTCCTAGGGAGTGAGGAAGCCTTACTCATGGTAAAGCCATGCTCCTAGGGGCAAGGGAAGGGAATGGAGAGTGGGGGCTGCTCTTCAGGGGCTGACAAAAGGGATCCCTAGTGTAAGTGAGCAGGAAGCCAAAGAGTTCAAAGTCTTCTTTTTCAAAACCAGCCCCAAGCCTCATGCAGCTTCTTTGAGATGAGCCCCAGGAAAGAAACTGGACCCAGAGATGGGGTGGGCTGTCTGCCGCCCATGTAACTCAGGTCCCCACCCAGAAAGTTCTCTCCTGTCCATGTGCTTGTCAGGCCCTGCACATCCAATCTTCCTGAGCCCCAATTCCTGCCATGAAGTCACTCACCAGTTAAGCTCAACAGTGCGGATGACGTCTCCAGATGCTGTTGAAAGTGCATAATCCTATCCCGGTATGAGAGGCAATCAGAATGGAGAGGCCACAAGACTGATCTCTTATGAGACCTTTCCCACTGGAACATTGACCGAGGTTGGCAGTTTTTACCTCCTTGAGAGGATGACGAAGAAAGGACTATCTTAGAAAGTTTGTACTCCAGTCAGAGATCGAGGCTGATGCCACTTGTTAGCTGTGCCGCTTGGGGCAAGCCTCTTATCCTCTTTCTGCCTGCTTTAGTTTCCTCTTCTACAAAGTGGCAATATTACTAGAGTTGTTGTGAGGATTAAACAGGATAATGTGGGTAAAGTGCCTGCCTCTGTGTCTTCAATATACTTACTGCAGTAAATGCTACCTATTATTACAGTTTTCAAGATAAGCACCAGGATCTCACTCCAGATTCTGCCCTCTTAACTTGTTCTCTGCGACCTTTCAAGGTACATAAGCATGGTCCTGGGGAGTTGGGATGAGGTTCTCTACCTCTGGTTAGGAGGTTCCCCAATGGAATCACAGGCCCTGGGTAGAGATGATGCCCATGCATTTGCTTGCCAATCCTAATTCCTGCGAGGACCCCTAGGACCACCTGTGAGTCCCAATATAAATGAGGCATAGTCAGAAAAATTGAAAAGGTGCACCTGAGCCTTGGTGAATCAGCATTGTCTCACTTTTTGTTTGAGCTGTAGGAATGATGGGCCTTTGTGGCACCCTGCACCCTATTCCATCATTCATTCCTTCATTCATTCAACAAATTTTCATTGAGTGATTACTATGTACCCAGAACTGTGCAATGTGCAGGGCATACAATGATGACCAAAAAGAGACATGGTCTTTGATCTTATGGAGCTTAGTCTAGTGGAGGAGTAGACATTAATAAATCAGTGTTAAGCAAACGCTCTCTAGGGAAGAGAATGACTAATTCCATGGACTGAAGGAGTGACTACAGCTCAGAGAGGGTGCAGGGGAGGCTGGAGGGATGAACTGGGCTGTCTGTGATGGAACTTTGAGAGCTTGGAGTCCATGTCTGAGATTTTGGTTTGTATCCAAAGAGTAATGGAGAAGCCAGGTCCTGACTGCTTTAGTTTTCTATTTTGGAAAAATAATTCATTCTTAAAACTTTGTTTTTAAATAATTTTGAACTTTAAAAAAGTTGCAAAAAGAGTTCCCACGTACTCTGACCCAGCTTCCCCAAATGTTAACGTCTTACATAGTACACATTAAAACAAGCTGGGATGTCCTTTTCTGGTGTGAGAGCTAACCTCCCTCGGATCTCACGTTGCATTTATTTGCTGTGTCTCTTTTGTCCCCTCCAATGTGTGATAGTTCTTCACAGTCTTTTCTTTATCTTTCAAAACCATGGTGCTTTGAAAGAAAATTGGCCAATTATTTTGTAGAATGTCTCTCAATTTGCGTTTGTCTGACGTTTCCTCATATTTAAGATCAGGTTGTGCATTTCTGGCAAGCACACCACGACTGTGACGTGTCCTTCTCAGTGCCGTGTACTAGACGTCAATGTGTGTTATAACAGGTGATGTTAACTTTGATCACTTGACTGAACTTGTGTCTGCCAAGTTTCTTCATTGCAAAGATACTATTTTTTCCTTTTAAGGGATACTTTGAGACTTTGCAAATATTCTTTTTCTCATCATACTTTTTCCCATTAATTTTATCACCAATTAATGAATGATTCTTGAATAATTCAAAAATTAATACCGTAGTGTTTGCCAAATTGTGATTTCTCTATTTCCATCGTTCCTCCTATGTTTATTGATTGAAATTCTACTGACGTGAAGAATGGTTCCTTAATGCTAATTTAATTATTTATTCAATTATTTGTTTATATCAGTATAGAATCATGTATATTTATTTTATTCTATGGGTTATAGTCCGTGACTATCATTTATTTTGTTTGTCAACTTATCCATGTTTGGCAATTGAGAGACCCTTTACAGTGGCTCTTTTGTCCTTTGGAGATGCCCCCACCATTTTTTGAGTATTTCTTTACTTTTTGCCACCACAAGATGTTTTGGGCCCATCTCATCCTTTCCCTGTCCTTAGGCTGGAATTCTCCAAGAGCCTCTGGATCTCCTTTTTGGAAAATGACACTTAGAAACCAACATCTGAGTGCTAGAGCATTACAACAGGGATGTCATTGCTACTAGGCTCTCTCAGCGGACAGAGCTGGGAAATATATGTATGAATGTCACACACATGCACACACATCTATCTCTCTGTCTGTATTCGTCTATCTGTACATAGATTAAAATCATGAGTTTAGATACCTCCAATACCAATCCAGAACCACAGGGTTCATTCTAGTCTTGCTCATCTTCTTGTTTATAACTCCCTTCTCCAACAGTGAGAAACCTGGCTCTTTTATCCATAATATACAGTCATGTGTCACTTAATGACAGGGATACGTCCTGAGAAATGCATTGTTAGGCAATTTCGTTGTTGTGCAAACATCATAGACTGCACTTACACAAACCTACGTGGTATAGTCTCCCACATACCCGGGCTACGTGGTACTAATCTTATGGGGGCACCATCATATATGTGGTCTGTCGTTGACCAAAACGTCATTATGCGGCACATGAGCGTAGTTACTTATTTGCTCAGTCATGTAATATATGTAAAGTAAATTCAAAATGCTAATCCATAAATGTGAAAAACACATTCATCAAATTCGTCAGCTAGAATCTGGCTTTAGCCTTTGACAGCATATAGTCAAAATACATTTTTTTCAAAGTTACTTAGATTAGTTCTTTTCTTCCCCACTCCCACTCTCATTCATAGTAATGAATGGTTATGTCATTCATTTTTAATATACTTAGGTTTACTTTTTACTGTTTGTATTCCATTTTGGATCCTTCCACCTTCCTCCTCCAAACACATACACATCCTGGTTGTCATTTGTTCATTGTTTATATATTCTTTCTCTGGATAAAAGAAACATCACCACGGGTCTAAAATCTGAAGTCTACATAAAGGTATCCTCAGAGAAGTGCCATGCCCCTCTTCCTTCTACCCTGATCTCCCATTCCCCTTTTCTTCCCACAGCTTTCCACCCACCCCTGTATTTCTTTACAGGGATTAATGTGTATCACATTAGTTTTTGGTTTAAACTTCATGTATTTCTTTTTGCACAAATGTGCAGACACATGCATTTTCTAAGGGCCTCTTCTTTCTTCTGTGAGAGGTAGTACACTACAGATGAGAAGACAACTCTGGTTGCTGGGTGGAGAAGGGCCTGCAGGAGGGCTTGAGTGGACATGAAGAGAACACTTAGAAAGCTGCTGCGATGGTCCAGCAGAGAGATGTAGGGCGCTGGTGCACTTGTGGTGGTAGGGCAAGAGGAAAAGAGGACAGATCTGAACAATGTTTGGAGGTGACATTGCCATGATTTGGTAACTGATTACTGAGGGCAAGGGAGAGGGCTGTGTCATGCGTGATGTTTTGGTTTCCGGCTTTACTGACTGGATGGATGCCAGTGTTGCTTACTGAAATATAGAACACTGTAAAAGGATCAGATGAGGGGTCCCCCACATAGCTCTGTGTTTGGACACGTCCAGTTCGAGGTGCCTTTGAGATGCTGAAGTGGAGATGGAGTAGGCAGCTGAGGCATGAAGCACAGAGTGGCAGTCTGAAGAGAAACTTCTCAAGCAGTTAATTCTGCCCTGGTCTTCTGCACACTTAGGTCAGGAAATGAGAGCACAGCAGCACAGGGAGATATTCCAGTCCCATGCAGAAGAACAAGAACAAAAACGCAAACTTGGTGGTCACTCCAAACTCTTCTTGCAGGAGGCTGGCTGCTCAGGGCAGGCACCCGCCAGAGGACACCCTTCCCAGTAGGGGAGGTCAGAGGCACAGGGCTGTCCCTGCTTCTTGAAGTGGAGGTGAGATGGCAGAATATTTGGGCTAGAGTTGTAACTGATTTCAAGTTACCGTAGAATGCCGATGATGCCATGTTGAACTAACTTCAACTAAATGATATCCCCACAGCCCACAAGACCGACCTGGGGCCCTGACTAATGCAGAGGAGCCCTCGCCTGAAGGGCTGGACTTGGGAGTCACTGGGAGAGAAGACCAAAGCTCTCCTCATGTCCAAGTAACTGCACAGAGCAGGGAGCAGCCAAAAGGGGCCCTGCTGAACCCCTTGGGAAGAGGATAGCGAGGTTGGTGTGAGTTGGAGGCGTAGATGTGTCATGTCTTCCTCTCCACTTTCAGGAGTGAAGGTAAGGAGGTAGAGAACTCTGGAGTCTCCAGAGCTCATTTCCATGAGACACCTCTATTCATGGATGAGAAATTGTTTGGAAAAGTCCCTTGGAGCAGATGCTCCTGAGTGTGGGTGGAGGTGAGAAGAATTTCCTGGGTGTGCTGTAACACATCGGGAGGGAAAAAGAGGAAAGAAAGAGTAGCAGGGGAGGTGGTGGCGGGCTGAGTGTGAGTGTTAGGTCCCTCAGCACCCCACACCCCAGTCTTCAGTTCAGATCTCAGAAAATCACAAAATGCTTAAAGTAGCTTGGTTTTCCACGGGAATCAAGTAAGGGCCAGGATTTTGAGTCTGGAGTGGTGGCAGTGGGATGGTGAGGGTGACACGGGGTGGGCAGTGTGCGGAGTGCGAGGGCGGGGAGGCGTGGGGAGGCCCGAAGCAGCGCACAGCTGGAGACGGGACGCAGGAGGGTCAGGAAACTGGAGGAGGGCTTCTGACTGTTTCAGGTCGAGCAATTTAGGTGTAGGCTAAGATCCATTCAGTCCTCAACGGGGACCCTTTCGACATCTGAATTACATATGTATATGATAGTAATATTAATAGAATGCATTTACTGAGCAATATGCTAAGTGTTTTTTACACGTATTACCTCCTTTGATTCTGTCCTCATAACAACTGCAACAGGTAAGGATTATTATTGCCTCTAGAGGGTTCATTCCTGTTATAATTAAGTTCAGTTTTTTATTCCATTCTTAAACTAAATAATAACTGTAGGATAGCATATAGTCCCCTGAACCACACAACAAAGGAAGTTAAAGGATGCAAAGAGAAAGAAACAGAAAAGGAAACCCGAGTGCTGAGAGCCTGGCAGCCTGAGCCTGTGCTGTTGGCCACTATGTGTTCTCAATTTCCTCCCCCCACCGCCCCCTGATCCGTCCACCCACTCGCCCATCCATCTTTCTCACCATATCTCTATCCACCTATAGACATAATTCCTCTTTAGGTGGGAGGTTGGAGTACACAGCCTAAAAGTTTCCTTCCAGCTCTTGGGTGCTGTGAGGTGTATTTTCCCTTAGACTATATTGTGATTATTTTTGGCAGGGTGTTGACTTCCTAATGATGATCAGGGCCGGCACGGATCTAGGAGGCAGTCCAGTCAAGTCCGCCATTCTGTGAGTGAGATGAAGCGACTCACTAAACCTCGCCTCGTCCCGAGCTTTGCCACGATAGCATCCTGCTTCAGATTACTTTGAACTTTGGATACACAGCAAGTGGTGATAAAGGATAATGATCCAGGTAGGCAATGAGCAAGAGGGAACGAGGGCCTAGAATTGGAATGTCACCTATTTTTAGCTCACTTGTATGCTAAGTCAGTGACAATCATGATGGTGATGGCCGTGGTGATGGCAATGACTCCTGCAATTCACAGGGCCCCTATGTCAGAAGGGATTGGGAGAGGTCGTCCACTATCCCCTCCTGCCTCCTGCTAACTAATGCCTGATTGATTCCTGAAAGATGCCCACCCTACTTTTTAAAAATGCCCCAGATATCTCTCCCTGATTTTAGCCAGAGTTCCCTCCTATTATATGTTTATTCTTTTCTTCCATCTTAAAATAAGTAACTATACAATAGCATTTAGTTCCCTGAACCACACAGCAAAAGGAAGTTAAAGGAAGCAAAAAGAAGCAAACTATATGGTCATGGGTAGCAAAAGATTGGTAAAGGGGAAGCTGGGTTTTGGAACAGGGAAGCTGGTTCAGCCTTCACTGAGACACAAACACCATATTCACACTGATCCCTTTCTTTTCAAATTCCAGGAATCATGGCGTGGGTGAAGTTGAGTCACCTAGAAAATGTGCCAAAGCCTAGCTGTTACTTTGGACTATTATTTGCAGCAAGATCTCTCCCCTTTCGTCTCAGAGCTGAATTGGGTGAACTCGTGGCTTCCAACCCTTTCTACATTTGCTCCCTTTGAGAAGGAAGGAATAAGACCCAGAAGACAATACTATCATTTATTATCTACACTATTTCAAGCACTGAGCTTTACATATTTTATATCACTTGTTCATCCCACCAATCTTGAAAGGATGGTGCTACCCCATTTTCCAGAGGAGATCTCTGAGGTTCAGAAAGTTAGAGTTCCAGGTTCCCTGATTATTAAGTGAGGGAGGTTGAATTGAGCTCAGATCTGTTATGCTCCACAGTCCCTCACGTGAGGAAGAGAGCTTGGGAGCATTTTAGCTGCATTCCTCCTTAGATTCTGACTGAGATGGACATGATTTCTCCTGCTCATCCCCCTGGTCCCCACCTCCTCTAATCTATGAGCCTATAGCTTCATATTCTGACAGCACGATCCTTTTCTTCCTACATGTATGATCATGGATCAAGGGGTGGAGTGGTTCATCTCACACGCTTACATATATTGTAGGCTCTTAAATCTTCACTTCCAGCTCTAACTCGTAACATCACCTAGGGCCTTCTCTTCAGTCTTTCACCTGTCCTGCCTTCCAGGGAATAGACATCAGCTTTTGCACACCTGCCGACCCCCAGCTTACAAAGTGGTCTCTGCCAGACCACACTTCCCACTGTGGAAGGAGGCACCTGAGAGGTGCCTGGGCCCATCCCCTGGCCTCTGTGTAGGCCAGCACGTGGGCCTGCCCCACTGAGTTGGAGAACTTTCAGGATAGCACATGAGTGGTGATCCAGAGAAGCAGCTGCCAACACATCTGAGGGCTCAGAACTACTGTGCTAGGCTGAGCAGACGCTACCTCCTATATCTGGCACCTGGTTTGCTCCCAGTGGCAGCAAGATTGCAGCAGGTACAGCAGAGATACAGGCCAAGTGAAGTAGAATTGCTACTTTACGTTTTAAAATCGAATGAATGGCCTTTACAAACTTCCACCCAAAATCCTTCAAAAAGAGGTGAGGACAACCCTGACCCCACTCTCACCTTCCACCTGATCAGTCTAAGCTGAAGGAAGAGCAATCCTTTATGGATATGGGAGGACAGATAAAGTTCAGGATGGGGACATTCTCACTGGGTCCACTTGCCCCTCTTCAAGATGGAGACAACTGGATTTGGATTTATTATCCTATTCTTGAACCCCAAACACCATTCTTACAGCAAAAATGCTCTTTGAAGGGTGAGGACATGGGGAAGCATGGTATCTTTAAGTAACAAGGGAAGAGAACCTCTCAAATTGGGAGAATTGGGGAAATGGGCATGCCACTAGGAACGAGGACGCAGAGCAGAAGGGCAGGCTGGATGTAACTTTCATCTCGGAGAAAAGTGAACTTTACGCCGTGTTGGCCAGCCTTGTGTTGATGCCAGGGCTCCAGATACCTACCAAGTCTTACCTTACAGCTAGTCCCAAGCTTCCTTCTTTATCAGGGCAATTAACAAAAAATAAAGTGATTGCTCCTCATGGTGTGTCCTGAAATATACACATGAAACAGTTCAACCAAATACAGCCTGTTGAATTGGTCCTTCAGGAGGGGGGCCTTCCCTCTTTTGGGGAGTCTGTGATAAGATGTGGCTTGGCCCTTTGTAGGAGTCCCTGTCAGCTGTGACAGACCAGGTCTTCGCCTAGGACCAGGAATAAGGTGCCAGGCTTTCAGGGTGTGTGTGAGAGTGTACATAGAAACTGTCACACCCTCATCCCACGTACCATATCAGGGTGGAGCCATTTGTTGTCCTCACCTTAACCATCTCAACATTTTCTGAAAGACTGAGCTTTGACGGTGCTGGGTCCCCAAGGTCACAGCCCAGAAATGCTCAGCAGACCCAAAGGGCACCTTGCCAGCAATGGTTCCCTTTATCTGTCCCTCATATCTGGGGATCCTGGACTCCAACCAGGTCACAGGCATGAATAACATTTATTTCCTAAGGGGAAGCAGGGGTCTGTCTAGCCATGTCTGATCTCCAAGCTTGTATTCACAAGCTCACACCACCTACCTATGTTACCCTCTGTGGACATTTTCTCAAGTTGTTCTCAAGGAATTTGGGGTTAATAATGAGTTACTATATTGCTACTTTCCAAAGATAAAATTAAAAAACACAACACCAAATATGATCCTGAACAACATTTAATCTCTGGTGTTTCAGAAGACAGTCGAGCATCTTGAAGGGCCTTAAGGTTGAGCCTCTGATAGTGACTATTGGTCCTTGGGGTGCTGTGTGGACATGCAAAAACACTGCTTGAGGAGAGGCAGCGTGCAGCGTGGAATGGGAGGCAGGAGCCCCAGCTCTGTTAGCACACGGCAGAGTGACCACGGATGAGTCACTCCCCTTCCCCAGCTGGATAGAGTTGGACAGAGCGTCTCTAAGGTCCCTCCCAGCTCTGATATTCTATGAATAACTAGCAGAGAATGCATTGTGTTGATTTCTCATAGGAACTGAAGAAATTAAAAAACTACTTGGAGCAGCATGAACACAGACTGGAACAGTCCTTTGGTATTTATAAAGCCTCGGCCTTGGGCTCCTACATCAGTGTTGGCCCATCCCTGGGGTCAGTCATGTGCAGACTGAGATAGGGAGCCAGAAGAACAGGAGTATCAGAGTCAGGGACCACCGCACAGCATATGACTGAGTTTATCAAGCCCAGGGACAAGGACCCTCCCTAGTGGAGGTGTGCCTGTGTGGTCACTTATCTTGCCTTCTCAGACCAACAAGAGCTCTTCTGCTCTCAGTCAACTAAGAGTTTTAGTTACAGGAATGTGTCCTATCCTTGGGACTGGGGACAGTGAGAAGGCAGTGGGGGAAGAGATAACAAACCAACTCCTCTTGGCCCCAGACCCTGTCCAGAAGGCCAGAACTGAGAGACGGATCCAGCAACATATAAGCCAGTCCCCATCCATTGCAGCGTTCTGGGAGACCCACATTTTGTGGGATCCAGTACTTGCCTAATGACCCTGGCACAGACGTCATCTCATGTGACTTTTTTTCTCAGGCTTAGTGACTGCTCTCCACTCAGTTCTGGCTAGGCTGAACTCTACCCAGTGTAAGAAAATCTCCAACAAAGCAGAACTCAGAGCAATGACTCCTTGTGTCATATAAATAGCTTCAGTGATATACACAGCCTATAATACACACCTACACGTACACACACACACACACACCCTCTTGTGGAAATCATCTTCAGGATGACTCGTGCAGGCACTCGTTGGCACAACCACTCTGAATAAAAATGTTTGCTTGGACTCAAATCTCTCCCTCTGCTTCACCTCAAGAGAGAAGAGAGCATCGGAGAGAAGCTGACCCCTGCCCAAGCCCTCAGTCGTGAGGAGGGAAAGGCTCCTGAGTGGAGCCCTGAGTCTCCTCTTATATGGCGGGGGGCAGGGAGGAGGTGGTGCTGGCGGCACTGGGGCAGTGCCTACTCCTTCAGCAGTCCCAGCTTCTTCAGAGCCTCCCTCCGATGTTCATCAGGGACGCCTTTGGGGGAGATCTTAACACTGACACAGGGGGGTCGAGGCAGCTTGTCACGGCTCTGCCCTTGGTAGGACAGGCGCTTGGAGCTCTGCTCCTGCTCCAGGTCAGCCAACTTTCCCACCTGGATAGCTGCAAAGTCCTTCCCCGTGCCCAAGGAGGCAGGGCGGGGCCGGGAATTACGTAAGACACTGGGCGAGATCTTGTTCAGGAAGGAGCCTCTTCCCAGGGAGGTGCTGGTTTGGGGGCTGGGACCTTCCTCAGCGGAGAGGTAGCTGCTCAGCCCCACGCCTGAGCGCTCCAGAGTGTTGGACTTAAAGTTCATCTGTCTCAGGCCAGGGATGTTGCTCTCCTGGAGAGTCAGCCCTGAATCTGGCTTTGGCTGAGTCAGGGGACTATTTACCCCGGGGGCCTTAGGGATAGGAATTGGCATGGATTTGGCAGCTGGAACCTGCCCTGGAGTGGGTTCCTGGGCAGGAATCAAAACCTTGCCTGGAGAAGATCCCTGAGCTGGAGCCGGAGCTGGAGCCAGAGCCTTCACGGGAGAAAGTCCCCGAGTTGGAGCAGAAGCTGGAGCCTGTCCTGCGGCTGGCACAGCTGCGGAGATGGGAGCTGGGGCTGGGGCTGCGGCAGGGGGCAGCACGCCAGGCTGCTTGGCTTTGAGGGATCTGGTGGGCTTACTTAAGTGGGGGATGGGCTCATCTTGGTCCTGGGGTAGCCCGAGCTTCTCCAGCGCCTCTCTGCGGGCTTTCCTCTGCTCCTGCAGTGAAGAGGCCACCAGGCTGGACTCTCCAGGGGCAGCCTCAGAGTGGCGGGACAGCCAATGCTGGGGGTCACTGTGGAAACTGCTTCGGCTGCTCTTCAGAACAATATTAGGGGGAAGCTTCCGGGGCTTAGGGGCTGTGAGTGGAGCCAGTTGGGCATTTGGATCCCCTCCTGATGGGATGGGAGCATCTTCAACTCTCATATTTTGAGACAACATGGCAGGAAGAGGCCGGGGTTGTCCTGGTTGTGCCATTGAGTCTTTCTCATTGGCTTTTTGGGACATGGCCTCTGAAGATGTCTCCTTTCTCTTCTGGGGGCCGAGTGACCTGTGGAGCTGGGGTGTGTGGCTGTTCTCCCCTGACCCTTCGGGTAGGCTGCCTTTCCCACACTGCTTGGGCTGGGTGTCCCGGAAGGCCTCTGGTGGCGGGATGAGCGCTGGGTCCAGATCTATGGCAGCCTCCCGGGGGCCGGTCAGAGCCTGGCCGGGCCCACTGCTTTGACTGGTCTGCTCTTTCTCAGGCTCTGGGGCAAGTCCCTCAGACTCCCCCAGGATGTGGCTGTTAGTCTGGATGGTGCTTCTCCCGAGGTTCTGGTTCCTGCCAATGTGGATATTTCTGGGGAGGCTGTAGGAGCCAGACCTGAGGCCCAGGCCTTGGAGCTCAGGTGGATAGGGAGAGCTGGACTGAGTCACTCTCCTTGGCTGTGGTCCTTGCTGAATGGTCGTCTCCTCTGAACGTCCTGTGAGGGTCCAGGAGGACAGGCAAAGAAGAGGGGACAAAAGTGAGAACCTTGCTGCTGAGGGAAAAGCAAATACTTCTGGAATTCTGATCTCCAATTAGCAAAGGATGGTTTTGGTTTTGTCGTTTCTTTGCTCTTAAAGGGGCAGTGCTCTTGTCTGGATATCATTTAGACTAACACATCAATACTAGCAGATTCCCTTCAACCAAGGATTAATTTTTCACGATGGTTGGGGAAAGGGCAGCCCTGGATCATTCCATGTCCTTGTCTCAGGCTCCTCCTAATGCTCCACAGATGCACCAGGGTTGGGGAGAGACTCAGGCCAGTCCCCCTCGCTATCTTGGAGCTCCCAGGTCACTGAGCCCAACAGAAGCATCGAACGTGAACAGCATGAACGGGCAATTTGCTTTTGATTTGACCAGGATCTGCCTTCTTCCACCTTCACTTTTATAAGTACCTGAATGATTCTGTAAGGCTACAGCTGTTCCCGCACCAGAGAGTCACGTGGGCTCTTTCCTTGCAGCTGGCTAGGCAGACGCATCAGGCCCACTAGGCCAGGAATTAGTCTTGGGCAGCGGGAAAGCCCCATGTCCCCATTCACTGCTCTATCTCCGGGAAGGTCTAACATTATCAATAAATATTTGCTAAATGAATGAATAAATCATTGCAGTCCTGATAGCAGTGGGACTGTCCTCAGGAGTAAAGTGCCTCCTCACCCTGGGGTACAAGGCCCCGCACTCATGGCCACATTTACGTGCCATCCTGTTCCTCTTCTACTGAGCCTCAACACCACTGGCTCTCCACACTGTCTCACAAGGGCCTCGAGGAGCCACCACTGAAGTAAAGGGAGCCCTTCCCTCTTCTTATCTCCTGCAGCTGCATCCTCTGTGTCATCCAGATTAGCTCCCTAGACTGACTCAGTCTCTCCAGAGCCGTCCACCCATGCCTCCCTGATTCCTTCCCCCACCTCTTTGGTCATATGTCTTTAGAATTTCTCCATGAGAGATGGGAGCTGCTCAGACCCCCTTCCCTCCTAGCCTCTCATACTTCATATAAAGACAGAGGAAGCTGGCTTGTCAGCAGTCCTTCCTCCCCTCCAGGGACAAGCTCTATTCTAGCTAGGAGAGTGCAGAGGAGTACGGCTGTCCCTTCTGCCTGTGACCCTTAGAACAGGGCAAACTAGGAGGGAAGTGGCCAGCAGGATGTACTGATTTTCTGGGTTTCCTGGAGGTGCTACCCCAGAGAGTCTCTCTTACCCTGGGGAGCAGGCTGGGTTATGGGCAGTGCCCGGGGATCTCGGGGAGTTGTGGCTTGCTCAGACTCGTCAGTGGACAGTCCGCTGTCAGTGTCCAAGGAGCCGATGGTTTCCTCCAGGAAGAGCAGACATTCCTTCTCTTCAGCAGACAGGAAGTCGTAGCTGCTGTCACTCTGGAGTGAGGAGAAGAAGGAGAGGGAGCTGAGAGGGAGCTCCGCAGAAACTGGCGGGGCTGAGAACCACCCGGCAGTGGGGAGGGAATGCTGAGGAGCTGGAAAGCTGTCCACGATGCCACTCCGCAAACCTGCTGGAGGTGCTTCCTGAAACTGCAGGCACCAGGGAGGGCAGAGACGGTCGGGCTGTTGTCCGACTAGCACCCATCTCTGGTAGCTGGGCAGGCAGATGGCAAGGGGCCTTTCTTTTGCTCAGTCCTGGGTGGAATGCTTAGGGGCACAGATCAGAAGCAGTTCCAGGTTCTAATTCCTATTCCTGTGTGTGACCGATGTCAAGTATTTTACTTTGTGTGTCTCTGACTTAGCTCTAAGTTATATGGGCAACATAATGATTTGCCCTTAAACTTGAATGGTATTGCTTTTAACTTTTCAAAGTACTTCTGCCTATTTGATCTGGCATGTCAAGGACAGTATGAGGACAAACAGAAAATAAGGCCAAGTACTGGCTGCCGGGTCAATGAGAACAGTGGCATGACTAGCCACAGATAAATTTACTAAATAATTTATACTTGACTTTGAAATGCATTCCATACAGGATTTTTTCCCCTTGTGTATTTACTTTCTTGATGGCATTTGGGTCTGGCTAACATTCAAATAAGGGTGCATTTCTTGAACAAATATTAACTTAAGGGGGGAAGGTAGAAAAATCAGATGGATATGGGGGAGGAGAAAGCAACTTGGTATTAAATATTAAGTAGATATTAAAGTAAGTCACTTTTATTATGAGAAAGCACATAGGAATATTTGGGAGAAAATGCTATGGCCGTTTCAGATGGTTTCCACCCATGTTCTACAAGGCCAGGAAGATCCACGGAACAGTCGCTCTCTGATGTTGAAGGTTGAAGGGAAAACCAAAGGACAAATGGGAATATAAGATATTTGGCCTGAGTCCCTTCCTGGCATCTCCACCCCTCTTTCTAACATCTGAGTCACGGCATAGTTGTATATTCTCCAGACCCACTCAGATGGTGAGGGAAGACTTTGAGGCAGCCCTAAAAATATCCTGGGGGTGGGGGGAGATTGTTGTTGGAATAACCCTTCCAGTTCCCCCGGCCCCTTAAAGAGCCATCTGTCAGTCGACTGAGCGAGGCCCACATGTCAAGGGAAACCCCAAATATAGCCCTGGAAGCCCTGAAGCCCACTCCAGCGCTTCCCGGGAGAAAATCTTCTTTACTGCCCTTTTCCTCCTAAAATAGCCTTGCCAAAATAAGCCAACTCTGAATGAGTCCTTCATGGATGCTTCACTTTGAAGACCTTTAATCCCTGTCACGCTCTGTGTCCAATGGTATGGAACTCCTCATATTAGCCTCAGTCTAACAGAAGCAGAAAGATGTCTCTGTGGCCCCACCATCTAGGGTCAGAAAGAAATTATATACAGACTGCACTTTGGATTTTGTGTGCATGTGTGTGCTGGTTTTCCTACTCCATTTTTACATATCAAAACTCATTGACTATATTAAACATCCTTGACATGCAGTAGAGATCCTTCTAATCCTGAAATTTTCAAATACCTCTCTAGGATATAATGCAACAGAGTAGAAATTCTCAAAGGTTATTATGCACGTGATGAGTACCAATAACAAAGGAATGCTTACATTGAGACATAGGGCAGATTTACTCTTTCATACCAGCCTTACAACAATCGACAGTTAAATTCATGCCCAGAAAAATTACAGTTTATCACATGCCAGTCACAAATTTTAAAGATTGACACCTGAGCTAACAACTGCTGCCAATCTTGTTTTTGTTGTTTTTTTTTTTTCTTTTTCTTCTTCTCCCCAAATCCCCCCAGTACATAGTTGTAGATTCTAGTTGTGAGTGCCTCTGGTTGTGGCATGTGGGATGCCGTCTCAGCCTGGCCTGACGAGCGGTGCCATGTCCGTGCCCAGGATCCGAACCAGGGAAATCCTGGGCCGCCGAAGTAGAGCACGCGAACTTAACCACTAGGCCACGGGGCTGGCCCTGAGTCACAAATTTTAAACACAGTGCTTTGGAAGGTTCTCAATCTCTGCTCACAGCTAGGCTCTATCTTTTCTACACAGACACATGTACTAAGTGCTTTATATGCATCTCACTCCCTGCAAGAACTCGATGAATTCAGTGTTAATACTATCCCCTTCTTGAAACTGAGGAGACTGAAGCTTAGAGAAATTAAGTAATTTTCCCAAGGTCATACAGCTTATAAGCAGAGAACCCAGATCTGATTGTCTCCAGAACCCAGGCTCTTAATTATTCTTTTCTCTTTGATCTTTGCAAAAGCCTGAAGTAATGCTGCTCATTGCAGAGAACTTCAGGAATCCATGTGCTACAAGGATCTACGTTCTAGTTCCCACCATGACCTTGGATCATTGGCCTGCTTTCTCACCTCAACTCAACCCCTCAACCTAATGAAAACTAGGAAGAAGTTTTATTTGTCCTATTGCTCTCTGGGGTTGTCCCACCCTATTCTCTACAGAACCAGGGGTGACTCAGAAAACATCAATTGGTATGATTCACTCCCTGACAAGGAAGATAAAAGAAAGAGAAAGAGCCATGAGTAAGGACAGTGGTGGGCAGGGCAGGGCAGGTATGCAGAAAGGAGGCCAGGTCGCAGGACAGAGGGTACATACAGATCCAGAGTGGGTGGAGGTGATGCTCATCATGCTGTCGCAGCTGCTGATGCGGGTCACAGGTTCCAAGCCAGGCCCAGCTGGCCACAGCTCCCTCTCGGGCATTGCCTGAAGCAAGGTGCAGGGACGGTGAAAGGGGCTCCCAGAGGGGAAGCGAAGGGAAGTGAAGAATGTCCCAAGCCGGGCCTGAAAAGAGAAGAATCAAAGCCACGTGTAAGCCCAGCTGAGGCTCTGGCAAGGCTCTGCCCGGGCCCTGGAGCAGCAGGGCGGCAGGGACACCAAGCAAGCAGACAGCTGGAAGGGGCCTTGAAAAGCCAGTACCAAAACCCAACCCCCCAGCTTGCATGGAAGGACACGTAAGATGGCTCACATACATGCAGAAGGATGGACCTTAGGTGGTGGAGAAGTAGTTTAGTCAGAAAGGCGATTCCATCACTTCTTTTAGTCACTTTTCTCTCTGAACTAGGGGGCTTAACCTACATTTTCATTACTATAAACAATAAATATTACAGGGGTTAACAGCTTGGGTTCTGGAGGTAACTGGATCTGGGTTCAAATCACCATTTCAACCATTTACAGTTACATGACTAGAGAAATTACTCTTTGAGTCTGTTTTCTCTCATTAAACAGGGTTAATGTCAGGATTAAATGAGAACGTTAGCACAGTTTAGGTGGTAATAAACACTCAAACACTTAATGAACAGTGAATGACTACCACTGTTCTTGTAACGAGAAAAAGACAAGATCTACCTAGGAGTAAACTCAATTGAAGTAAGGGAAACAAAAGTTTAGAAAAGGAGGGTTTGGGTTAAACAGGAGACTATATGCTTGAGAGAATGAACAGGGCCCTTAACAGTACCTACTTCATAGGGCTGTTGTGAAAATATGATGAAATACTCCATGTAAAACACTTTTTGCAGTGCACGGCCCAGTAACTGTCAGCTGCGATCACAGTCAACATCATCAACATCATCACAACCACTACAACCACAGCCACTGTCATCACCCTGGTCTGGGAGACACATGCATGGTACCCAGAGTGGTTGACACAAACCCAATTTCCCTCTTGTGTATCCCCCTCTCTGATGTTGCACTTATAATGAGGTTCCCTGACCTGTGTCAAATGAACAAGAGAAATGTCCTATGTAGCTGCCTCCTAACTCCAACTTAGAGAGGAAAAAAAAGGTCCAAGATCACTGTGCCAACAGTAAAAGCAAAGGAAGGCAGTGCCATCTTCTTTCTGAAAATCCCAAGGATTTCCATATGCCTGTTTGTGGGAAACACTCCACCAGAGTTGGAAAGGCCAGAGATGAATCTCCTATGTTAAAATGAAATTCTAGAAGAATTAAGAGTAAAAGACAGTTCCAAGGCCAAATAAAGATTCGGGGGAGAGCTAGAATTAGAATACAGTTTGTCTGATTCTGAATCCATATTTTCCCTACAACAACATGCTTTATTTTCTACCACCTTTCCTACCCTCCCAACACTAGGTAAAACGTCCTAGAAAAATGTGTTCTATTTGAGATCTTGGGACTTGGGGTTTGGATTCCAGTGCAGGTTGTCCTTTTGGCCTCTGCCAATAATTGCTTCCAGTGCCAAAGTCAGGCTTGAGTTGTGCTGGGTGAGTCAGCCTGCCAATCCTGTAGAATGGACAAGCACAAGGCTTCATGGAGCTCCTCTTCTGCTTGGGAGGAGCCACTCAAGTGGGGCAGGCAGGGAGGGGCAGGGCAATGGGGAAGGAAGAGGGAAGATTCCTAACGAGCTAGACACACGCAGTTCATAAGGGCTCAGAGCCTCTCAGGAGACAGAGAAGGAATCAGAGGGAACAAAGACACCAAAGAAACCCAATGATAAATCTACATCAAGTAAGATAGCTGTTAGAGTTCTTTCTTGAGGTTAGTTCTCCAATACCCAGAACCTCAAAGAAACAGAAACGTGAGAAGTCGTGTGGATGAAGTTCTGTCACCTCAGCTATCTACTCCATTAATGACTGTCTGGGTTCAGAAAGTACTAACTCATTCCTAACGTCCTGTTGGGTTGAGGCCATTATAGCAAAGGGATCCACGTTTCATTAGCCTGGGCATATAGAAGGCACACAAAAAAGTGCTGGATGAGTAAACTTGTCATCTCTTCTAATGTCCATTGAGTTGAGCTGTTGGAAGTCTTCTTTTTTGGCTTCTACCCTATTACTGTAAGTTCTTCCTTAAATATTTTATTTCCTAGAGAATATATATGACTCAATGGAATTCGGGCAATGCATTCAGTCCAACAAACATTTATGATCACCTAATAGGTACAGAGTGTACAAAACTTTATAAGACGAAGGCATTGTTTCCAAGGAGTCAGTATAGATCCAAGGGTCTAGTTTTGGGCTCCAGTGTTCTTATCTGTAAAATCAGGGCAGTAAATATTGAAAGTGACTCACTACAATTAATGTAATATTCTCTGTGAATAGGTGAGCAGACACTGCCTCTTCCCTTTGGAAAATTACTACCCTTGTTCTTCCAAGTACACTTCAGACTCTACAGTGGTTTGCTGGCCTCTCCGTCCTCCCGGGGCAGCCTACCACACTCTCATTTTGGAACCAAGGATGGTCTAAGGCAGCTGGAGGAGATAGAGACAATATGAATGGCACTGCTTCAGAGAACACGGCACAGTATAGCTGACAAAGTGCTTTTAGATATGCCAACTAGATCTTCAAAATAACCTGAGAACTTGGGCAGGATGTGACATTTTCTTCATTTCACAGATGAGAAAGCTGGGGCTCTTTCCACTTCCCCTTCCTAAGGCAAGTAAGCAATGCCCTACAACTGCATACATAGGGCAGTCTGTGGATCCCCGCCCCCGCAGAGAGCATCTCAGAGACTGCCAGATGCAAGAGAGCCATGTACATAAAGAAGGGTCATTGGCTACCCTTGACAAGATCACCCTTCTCCTTCTACCTCACACTTAAACCCTGGAAATTATCTGGTTCAGCTTTATGCTTCCAGGCCAGCTTTTTGTTCCAAAAACAGATACTTTCAGAGTAAAGAAACAACAGCAAATGCCATTGAAGATCCTGTCATCAGGCACCACATAATCACTGCAGAGAGAAATCTGAACTTGAAACCAAAGCTGAATGAGCCCACGGGACTTGTACCGCATGTCCACACCTTGTTTTCCGACCCAAAGAATCTGAACTATAATAAAGTCTTCTCTGCTTCCCACCCTTCCTCTCTCCCTCACTAGCTGGCCTGCCTTCGGTGATGCATTTCCTTCCACCAACTTTATAACCTTGAAACTTAGGGGCTGTTTCAGGGCAGCCATCGAAACCTGAGGCATTTCTACCTGATAAGAAGCCTGAGAAACAAGCAAAACACTCAAGGTGAGAGTTTGGTATCTCTTAACCCTTGACCTCTCTGAGGGACTTGAGGGGAGGAGGGAATGGGTTAAGAAATATGCGCAGCCTAAGTCAGGGCCACCAGTGCAAAAGCACATTAAATATTAACTACTTCACTGAAACCAGCCAAGACTTGGATGAGGGTAAATAAATAGCATGTGGAGTTCTGGCATCTGGAGAGGGTAGAGTGGGGACAGGGCTCCAGCCCCATTCCAGTTTGGCTTCTCCGTACCTTCGAAACAGACCCAAGGCCTCCTTGTCACCCTCCTCCCATGAGCCCACCCCCATATCCTCTAAGAGCTCAGCCCCTCTCCCCAGTAGTCAAAGAGGTTTCCTATTTCTCTTAGACCTGGTATCTCTGCTTTGTGCTGGCTACCCAGAGATGTGCCTCCTAAATGAGAACTTCCTATCAAAAACGTCAGGGAGACGAAAAGCTGCGTGCTGTGTGTACCCCTCTCCATGAGCACACGGGCAAGTTCCTTTGTGTGGTTAGGCAATGTTATAATCTCCCCTTTCACCAGTGGGCGTGAGGGAAAAGGTGGCTGAAATATCTTCTACACGAAAAGCTTTGTTCAACACTGCAGGGTATCTTTACTGCTGACAGGGTCACCATCCGCGGGAGGCCTCAGTCAGTGAGTTTGGCGGGTTGTTCTGTGGTGTGGGCTAAGCTAACGCCTACAGCTCCAGTTGCCAGGACTGGAAACCCAATATATTCACTCAAAGCTTATGTGCGCCAGGCCCAGGAGCCTGGCACTGGGGTCTTCCCACTTCCCTCTTTCCTGCAGCAGGAGGAAAAGAGGCAAAGTGAGGGAGCAGAGCACTAACCTCCCAAAGTGGATAATGGAGAGCTGACTTGCTACTCTGATCTGACCTCCACATCCAGCTTCTGTGTGCAGGGAAACCTGCCACACAGACTACTACTGGGAACCTGACGGAAAACAACGAAAAACCGCTACACGGTTTTGGTTGTCCTCTCTGGACTCTGCCACACTACTTTGGCCTGAGCCCCACTTGGAACTCCTACCAGACTTGACATGCCACTGTGAAATATTAACGCAGGTGAGGCCCCAGCAGAGCCGAGTAGCTTTCTGTTTGCCAGTCTCTGTGTCTATTAACAGGTAAAGTCGGAAAATTAATTGAGTTGAACCCAAATAAACTTGACTTTGCAACTAGATTATCCCCGGCTTTTCCAAGGATGAGCTGGTAGCCTGAGTTGGAGTTTTCCCAATGTAACCAAATCTCATACCCCGTTACAAACGACCTAGCACAGCTCACACCTTCCACAGCTGTCCACTGAGAGCTCCATTATCACACTACCATTACTGTACATACACACCCTGCACCTTTTATTTAAATAAAGATAGACATTGAGTTGATAAAGCCATGGGAGAATTTCCTGTTAGCAATGCAATGGAAGATCAAGGCACCCTTCTCTCCTGGGCGACCCTCCATTTTGCCTCTCTCTACTCCAACTATTCTTTTCCAAAATCACAACTCAATTTCAATTGCTCAGAGATGGGAATTTCCAAAACAAACCTATTTTCTTTTCTTGTTGTCTGCATAATATGCTTATCCAACCTAAACTGGCAGATGAAAAAAAACGTGTTCTAGCCCTGGTCTCCACAAAACCACTCCAATCAAGAAGCTACCAACTTACTCTTAGCCGATGCTGGACTCAGAGCTGAGGAACAGAGAGGACAGGCCCCCAGCTGGGGCTTACAGGGCTGCCCACAACCCTGTAGCTCCAACTTCCCACGAAGCCCCCGCTCTCACTGCACAATAAGCAATAGTTGGTTAGTGATTAACT